AAGGACACATATGTGATACCTTATCAATAAAGAAAAAAAAATTTTTAAAAGATAAGAAAAAAGAATGAATGTATACCTTGCATCTTGCTTCCTCAAAAAGATCTACTAAAACCACATTAAAGAGACTTTTAAAAATAATAAATCCACAAGAACAAGGAAAACAAAAAAAGACAAAAGAAACAAATTTTGGAAGCTCAAGAGAAAATGGACAAGTGGTTCTGACTTAGCAGAAAGCTGAGTCCTAAAGCAGCAAGGGAGGCCTGTGGGCGAGCTGTCTGAGAAGCAGTTAGAACTCCAGGCCCCAACTGCACTCCACACTGCTGGGTTATTGCCAGCAGAAAGCTAGAAATTTATTCACTGGAAAGGGTAAAAGAGAAAGTCCTTGATCAACAACATAGTTCAGTGACCATACACAATGAAGTATGAATACTGATGTCCCAGCCAATTGCCCTACTGGCTGCAGGAACACAGGCCCCAGCCCTTCGCCTTTCAGATGGGTGAGAGCTTCCTCTGGGGAATCTGACCAACCCACACAGAAAGACTAAAATACTGACACAAGGGCTTCTGCAAAAAAAGAAGAAGAAAAAGACCCACCTAGATCCCTCCAGTGAAATTCCAAGTCAATAAGCCTTACTCACAGGCCCAAAAAGCCTCATCTCTTAATCATGAAGAGAAAACCAAGGATTAATTTCCAAACATTTGATGGAAACCCCTAGCATGGAAGATACATAACTACAAACAAACAATACAAACAGAAACAAGAGAGCATTCTTGGACAAAATAAGAGACTGTATGCGTGGAGGAAAAAAATAAAGAAAAACAAACTATCAGTATAACATCTCCAGATAGGTGAAAGAAGATATTGTGGTCATAAAATCAAATAGTGGATCCTATAAAAACAGAAGGATTCAGAAAACAAAAATTGAACTCAATAGTAGGGTTGAAGAAACAGAGAACAAAGTAGATAGTAAAGACAAAAATAAAATAGAAAAGATAAGACAATTAAAGGAACAGGGCAAGCAATCTAATATCCAAATAAAGACTTTCCAAAAAGAGAGAACAGAGGAAATGGAAGGTATAAATCATCAATGAAATAAATCAAGGACGTTGCCCTGAACTGATAGGTAGGAGTTTCTAGACTGAAAGTGTTCATCAAGTATCTGGCCCAGCTGACTTGCACAACACTTACCATACATGCATCAGTTACCCTTCTAATTGTTTTACATACATTAACTTATTTAATCATCACAATAACCCTATAAAATGGGTGCCTTTATAATTATTACTCCCATTTTACAGATAAAGAAACTGATGTACAAAACATGCCCAAGATCTTTAAGTGGAAGGCCCAGGATTTGAAGGCAGGTAATGTATGCCCAGAGCCTACTACACAATACACAGGAGAGAGCATCATTGTGAAATTTCAGAGTATACCAAAGACAGCTCTAGCTGATTTTTTAACGCTAGGGCTACTAATTTGATAGTGCACCCAGAGTCCAGGCTCTGACCAATCATCTGAGGTGAACCCCATGCAGGTTTCCTTCTCTCCAATATCCTGTCCTACAAATTCCAGTCCTATCAGAAGCTCTAAATTCCTATTCCCATCTCCAGGCTCAAGAAGAACACTGCTCTACACTTGGGTTCACTTGCCTATACCAGAGCCAGGAAAACTTTTCTCGGTGAGTCAGAGGAGAATGTGACGCTCACCTCCCATCTCAAGGAGCACAGAGCCTCACTGGTTGCTGTCCAACACTTGATGTATTTGTCCAGTTCTGCAGTGGTTTATGGCAGGTTAGCAAGTCTGAAACCAGCCCTTTTATACCCGCACTTTTATTTGACCCTCACATTGAAATAATTGTGGGATCAAAATTCTTTTCCTTCAATACTTTAATGTTATGCTCTTATATCCAGTATTGCTGTTGGGATATTAATGTCAACTTGATTTTTATTATTTTGTCTACATTTTCTGCTGTTTCATTTCCCTAAATAATAAAGCTTTAGCTTTTTGTTCCATTGGTTTTAAATTCCTGTTCCATTTGCTCCATCAGGTCTGTTTCCTCTCATGTTGGTTGCCTATAGCTCATTCTTCATGATGCTTTTGTTCTTTAGATGTGTTATGAGCTTTTCAATTGAGACTTCATCTGTGTTACTCCTAAAACTATCAGTTGCCTCCGCTTTTGATGACTACATAAGTAGTCCATTGAAAATGGAGGCTAGCCCCGCCGGTGTTGCTCAGTGTTTGAACATTGACCTATGAACCAGGAGGTCATGGTTCAATTACCGGTCGGGGTACATGTCTGGGTTGCGGGCTTGATCTCTGGTGTAGGGCATGCAAGAGGCAGCCATTCCATGATTCTCTCTCATCATTGATATTTCTATCTCTCTCTCCCTTTCCCTTCCTCTCTGAAATCAATAATATATTTTAAAACAAGAAAAGAGAGGCTAAATTGGTGTCTTCACTGTGAGTTGGGGAAATATGGGTTGAGTGCCTCTACTGCAGTTTCTGGCTTAACTACACTTATTTTCCCTGCCATTTCTTTCTCCTTAAGATGCACATCCCAGTTCTTCTTCTGTATCTGAGACTGCTTTCTCTAACTGGAGTTGGGGAAGACAACCCAGGGTCCCACTGGCTATCTGTGGCTGGCATTATAGATCTCAATGCTGATATCAGAGCTTTAGGGAGGGAGGTTGTTGACATCAAATTCTTTATTATGTAGAACCTTGGCTGTCTCATTTTCTGCCGTGGACTAAAAACAGCAATCAAAGTCCATGCAAAAAACCAACTTTGAGCATATTACCCAAGTTTGCAAACACAACAGATAAGACTCTTTCAGATCCTGTCTAAGCCTGGCCCAATGAGATCACAGCTCCCACCCTGGACTGGACCAAGACTCCAGTTAGAGATTTCATCTTTTGCCTTCTCCCTTCTCTGCTCCTCCCATCCCCTAGCCTTCTCCTGCTCTAGCCCTTTATTTTCTTGTGAGTTTCTCAGAGTTTTGATCCAGTTGTCAAAGTGTGCCTCTGGATTCATTATACCTTCCCATGTCTTTGCTGGAAATTTCAGACTTCAATGTAGAGAAGGGAGCCAGCAGGATGCTTTTAGCCCATTGCCTTGATGGAAGCCCAAAGCCCATTCTCCCCATGGATCATACTGGAGATACTACTTGTGGACCTTCCAGCCCACGTAGAGGTGCTACAGGCTGTGAGGGATGCAGGCCAGGCCAGCTGTGCCGGAGCAATCGGAGTTAGAACCCACAGCGTTAGAATACCTGCCCAGAATTTCTATAGGTGACTGTGAAATGAGGTGAGACTCCCCAACTCTCCCCACCTCAGGCAGACTCAGCAAATTAGCTTAGTTCTAATACCAGACAGTTTTCAAAGGAAGCAAGCACATTTAAATTGCTGGTGACGATGACACACACTCATATCTTCATAATGCACAATTCAATACTTAGAATTTTGTCATGCTTGGAAGTATCTGTATTTCCACATCATTTATCTCTATATCATTACAGAAATTATAAAAGTTTGTATTCTTTAAACAGATGAGTGGAAAAGGAATCTCTTTTCTGTAGTAACAAGTCATGCCACCCCCAACACAAATTTTATTTATTTTATTGGCGAAGTTGCTAGTCTCTTGCTCTATAGTAAATTCTAATTATTCACAGTAATGTTCTATGAAGTCACTACAAACACTGTATTAGCAAATGCTGAACCATTGCTCCTTGGAGAAATATGGAGTTAGAGTCTTAGGAGTCTCTGGTTATAATATTTTCATCAACTAACCAATATATAACTGTTTTTATGTGTGTTTCTGTTTAAAGATACCTTATTTAATATATATTGTTGATTCATTAACATTGGACTCACAGGCAACAGCATTATAACTCATGCCTGAAGGAAGCTTAATTTAGCACACTTATTTTTTCCACATCACAGCCTCTTGTGCTTAGATATAACAGATAGCACTTTAGCACCATACAGTACTTGGGAGCCATTTCAAACAGCAAATTCATCAATTAAAAACAAAACAAAACACTAAATAGACCTTGAAAAGGACACTTGCATACAGTACTAGAGCTGAAACAAGAGGCAGAGCCTCACCTTGCTCAACTTAAACTGGGAATGTATGCATAAGGTGGCTCAAAATTTTCACCACACTCTATATGTTCATGAATGACTGCAACAACACCCCAATTATTGATTTGGGGATAAATAATTTTTTAGTAAGAGAATTTGCAAATATGGAAACCATAAATAAGATGGGTTGACTATTACTTATTAACATTATGCACATTGATGAAAAATAACCTTTTGTTAAAGGAAAGAAGTCTGAAAGCTGCCACATAAAGGGCCTTTTGTTGACTTTGGTTCGCCCCTCACACCTTCACCCCTGCAAACAAACCTCCTGAATCACTAAGAAACATTTTGTGCAATCTGCAGCAGTTTAAGGACTACTTACATCTTGCGCCGATCTGGTGAGTGTCTAGTAAAGAGAGCTCCAAAGCCTGTCACAGGCAATCCAGTGTCCCTGGAAACAAGATAACAATTTTAGGAGCATGTCAGACTGGCATTTATGAACTATCAAAGCCATAGAAAACTAACTTGGGGCTAAATTTTTACGATAATTATTTTTAAAGGATACTCATGTTTATAACTTTATGCACTTTGCAAAATAAAATGTCCCAATGTGTAAATGAAAATGTCAGTATTCCGTCATTACTTCGACTGCATTGTCCAGTAATTACAATATAAGAGAAAGTCTATATCACACACTTCCATGGAAAGGTACTGTGCCAGGTTGCAGGACTACAGATATGACTAAAAAACAGTTCCTACCCTCAAAAGACTGTCTATCTCAGGGAAACATACCTACATATAAATAATTAGAATGTAAGTCCAACTAGTTTACAAAACACAAACAAAATGCTCAAAGGGCAAGGAGGTAAAAGCAATTAATTCTGTTTAATAACAGTTTAGCTAATTCTTAATGCAACTCAGGCAATATTTCTATGCACATTTCATACTTTATTTCATCTAAACTTCAGAAAAACTCTATGAAGTAGATACTTTTATGATTCCCATTTTATAGTGAACAAACTGAGGGTTACAGACACCAAATAACGTTCACAAGTAAATTGTGGAGCTGGGGTTCAAACCTACTCAGATCCTTGACCAGAAAAAAACATGTAAAAATTACATTTTAGCTGGACCCAGAATGAGTAGTGCTGATTGGCAAACTGAGGAAAGGGAATTCCAAACAGAAGGAATGGCATAGGCAGACAGCATGGAGGCATGAGATGTGCTCCTGTGCTTTAAGTGTTCCTGTAGTGTGTAGCTTGTGCCACTAGACCTCTTCGGTACTTACATAACTCCTTTCCTGCATTCCCTATTCCGTAAGCAAAGAAAAATATTAAGAATACCTTTCAACAATCCCAGAGCACCATGTTTCCTCATTCAATAAAGCACGGCTTTTTATTTGAGCCAATTCTGTGTTTAAAAAAACTCGTGCCGTTTGTTCATGTGTTTCTGAGATCCAAATCTGGAAAAAAAAATAGAAGCCAAATCTAAGAAAAATGAATTAATTGTAAAAATAATCAGTTACCAAAATATATTTTTGTTGAAGTAGACTCTGATTTTAATTGTTGACTCAATTGACATTAAAAAATAAGTGATATCTCATAGCAGCTATTTCATCATAAACATGTAAAAATGGCAATTTCTTACTTTACATTGTTGGAAAATAAAAATCAAATTAGTTTTTTCTATGAAATGAAAAGTTCTGCATTCAACTAAATATTAATTATATTTGCTTTCTACTTCCTTCTCAAGTTTAATATATTTTATTTCCCTAAGTAAGGAATTATTTATAGCAATCACTTTATAAATTGAATAGGACTTCAGATATAATCCTCATCATCACCATCATCATGGCCATCATCATCATCATCATCATCATCATCCATTTTCTATCACAGATGATAATTCAATGAATTAGAAAGCAATTATTACTATGAGAAAAATCTGCAGACTGTAAGATGTACACAAACCAATTGCAGATGCAACATGGGTAACATCTAGGGGATCTTGGGAACAAAAACAGACAGTGAGGATTGAATAGTTTCATACAAAACTCTAGAATATCACAAATGTAGAAGTTCACAGCAGAGAACCAGAACTCACCACCACCACCAGAACCCATTATTGTTCCTAATCCTAAAAACTAGGTTCCCCAACACATTCAATGAAGCCCCAGATCACAGTAATGCCATTAGATTTTGTTTATAAAAAAAGAGAAACCACTGATTAGAAATTTGAAGACTTCAACTGCTATCATAGCTATATTCATATGTCTTTGGTCCACTGTGGGTTAATATAATAAGGCTTTGCAACAACTAGGAATCACCACAACTCAAAGCAATTTTAACTACAGTCTCTGGTCCTACTTCCCTAGTCTATTCCATGGCTCTACAGATCCTTAGCTTCTCTCACCCTGTTCTCTAAGACCACAGCCTCCTAGCCCAATTTCCAAGTTCTCATTCCTATACCCTCAGCTCAACTACTCATCTTCTTAGATCCCCAAGTTAACAGGTCAATGGTATAGGACACAGTATAGTTTATGCTTTATAGTTTATGCTTTAACAAAAAAGAAGACATATCTTTGGCGGCAGGGGAGGATGACTAGCCACCATTTTGTTTTAAGGTTTAAATTTGACCCAAAAATTTGCCGTAGTTATGCTCTGATCATTCTTGGCAATGATCACGTCAACAAAGCAATCAACATCTTTGAAAATTTTATGAAACAAATATATTGAAATAATGAGAAGTAAAAGAAAGCAGAAGATAGTAACATTAGTGGAGCTTAAGTTTATTGAGTGCTTATTCTGTGTCAGACACCACATTAAGCACTTTGTATGCATTATTATTTCATTAAATGCTCAAAGCCACCCTACTAATATCGTGTATCAATCATGGTCACAGAACAAAATGAACAAAAAGTAGAATAAAATGGGGAACTGAGGAGAGTTTAATAAAAGAAGTATTTTTAAAAGTGTGACCAGCATTCAGAAAACCCCCAAACAATGTTGAAGTGCCATGAGGACACAATAGTGGGGAGCCGTAGGGTAGGGGCAATCACTGGAACCCAGAAAGACCTAGTTGTAAAGAAAGGGCCACTTGATAGTTGTGGCTTTCAGAACAGACACATAGTGTCTTAGTCCACCTTAGGCTGCTGTTATAAATACCATAGATTGGGTGGCTTATAAACAACAGAAATTTATTTCTCACAGTTATGGAAGCTTTGAAGTCCAAGATCAAGGCGTTGACAGATCCAGTGTCTGGTGAAGGCCATCTTTTCACCATGTCCTCACATGGCACCAATCCCATTTATGAGGGCTCACAATGACCCACCTCCTAATACCATCACACTGGGGCTAGGGTTTCACCATTTACTTTTGGGGGACCCAAACATTCTGTCTATAGCACACAGCCACCGACAAACCATGGCTCTGCAGGAAGGAAACCGTAGGAATAAATGAGCAAACCAACTCTCCTCCCACCTCTGAACACCTGTCAGTGCCTTCTACAGGCGAATCCCAACAGGAAGCCAGAGGGCAAGGGAGCTCATTGATGCAATCCATAAAGGTCAGCCTCCTTGGCACAGAGCAGGGTTAGAAGGGTAGAGAGTGAATCTAGAGGGAGAAAGGAAGAACACTTGGAATAGTTTATCTTCATCTTAAGGGAAAACTAAGGTTGAAAGGGATTAAGTAATGCCCATGTAAACCACTGAAAAAGTAGAAATTTCACAATTCAAAACTCATGCAGTCTGGATCATTCATTCATCCATCCATGTCTATGATGTGCCAGGCATCCTACTAAGTTCTGGAGCTACAGTAGTGAACTCCAGAGGCTATACTGACTATAGCTTAGTGAGTTATAGTAAACCATGAGGATAATGGTAATAACCATAGCACATGGCCAGACACCACTCAAAATGTCTTCACATTACGTGCTCATGAAAACTCTCCTACTCTCACATTACACCTGAGGAAATAAAGACATGGGAAGTTTTAGACTCTTGATCAAAGTTACAACCTAATAAGCAGTGGAGCCAAGAAGCAAAGAGAAGCCATCTGACTCTAGAGCCCATTCTCACCCTCTGTCCTATATCGTAGGCAAATGTTATCCGCCAGTATTAGGCTTCCCATCTTCATCATAGAACCCAAAAGTTTAGCTGGGACCTTGGTGTTTCAGACTATGGTTTTCTAGTCTCCCTTATGAATAAGTGAAAGTAATTTATACAACCTCCGGGAAAGGTTCCTCTCCTCCCCCCCCGCCTTTTCTGCTGCATGGAAAGCAGACATAATGATAGGTTTCTAGCAGCTGTCTTAGGCCCTACCCAAATGCTAGAAGAGCAGAAAGCTTGAAGAAGTGGGTCTCTGCTAATCTGTTGAAATTCCATACCGATCCTGGCCTGCTATCCTTCAGACTTTTTACATGAAAGAATAAAACTGTATGTGAACAGCCACTGTTGATTTGTGGTTTGTGTTGCATGTAGGCAAACCTAATCCTATACCATCTTAATGTGAAAGATCACTTTGGTCTAGAAATGTTCATAACCTGACATAAGGGTGGATAATTTATAAAAGCACTTTCATATGTTTAAAAGTCTTTGGGGATATATATATATATCACAAACTGGAGATTGGCAATTTGGTATGTGAAACAGCTAACTTAACACAGCACAAACCCACAGGATAATCACTAACATTTCCATTTAATTTGCATAGTAAAGTCTCACTTGAGTCAAATGGTAATATAAAAAATGTCTAATGTGTGTGCAGGAAGTTCATTTCATAATATCATGCTTATTCTTTATTTTCCTGAGTAACAATTTATTTTTAGTCCTCACTTGTACTCTTCCAAGATAAACTCTTCCCATATGTGCTGCATTTAAGAAAACCCAGTAGACATATAACCGGGGAGGCTGATATGGGAAACACTTAGGACTTAGGACACTCAGGTCACTTAGGACTTAGGACTTAGGACTTACACTCCAATTCCACATTTGAGGGTAACCAGGTTCTTCCTGCTGAGGATGACTTACTCCCTGGCAGAATCTCTCTTGCAACAATTGTTTCAGATGATTGACATTTGGGCTTCTTACAGGATCCCCAGAAAGCATATCCCTCTGACCCATATAGAAGGAAGTGCAGGTACTTCCCAAATCAGTTTTCCCCTCTGATGCCACAGGCTGCATCGGGAATGAGTCAGATTTCAGTCCACCAAGTCTTCCAACGTCAGGAAACACTGATCAAGTACCCTGTCTAGTATCCTTGAAGCCTTACTCAAAAGCTTTGAAATGAATGGGACATACTTACTACCCCTACCCCTTGGGGACAACAGGTGTGAGACTCAGCATGCACACTATCTTCAAATGACTCCTCCAAATTCCAAATACTCTCGGCCTTTTTTCAATCTTTTCTTTTTTAATCCTCAAGGTGGATGAGAGGCCAGGGGGCTAAAAATCAGTTGCAGCCCAAATGCTTTGCCTGTTCTACATGAGTGATTCAGCACCTCATTTTGTAATGAAGGAGTTGGCATTCATTATCTTAGATCTTTAATCACAAATGAGGAAGTCTTATTTTACCCTGTTAAACAGCACTCCCCTACCAACTGTACCTTTTCTGCACCACTACCAAAAATGTCATTGTCATCAACAAGTAACCAATGAGACTTTGTCAAGTCTTTATCTTTAAAACGCATCCAAAAGGCTGTTCTTATTTCTCAGCAGCAGTTTTGCCCTTAGAAATGCTGGCTGTTTTCATATCTAGGTGAATTCAGTAGTGCCGTACACAGACTACTTCTTAAAGGATCCCAGAGGAGCAGAGAGGACCCCACCCCATTACTATTTTGAATAACTGGGACTCATGGGGTACAATCAGAAAAAAAATTTCATTGGTTTTTTTTTCCACTGCCTGTTTATGCTAGCCTGTTTGGGATGGTTCATTCTCTGTTCTGAGAAGAACTAAATCTTGGACAAGTGCCATATTTTATTCTGATCACTCTCAGATAACAAAACAGTCTTGTCACAACAGTGGTCTCAGTTAAGTAATTAATATTAGTAAAGTTACCCCATGAGAGCTTTTTAGCTGTCTAGTTGTCTGAGAGAAGGAAGGAGGAGCAGAGAAATGAAGAAACAGAAAAACAGTTAAACCTGCCCTGCCCACATATTTCCCCCTGCAGACCTCTGGCCTGCCGCAGACTCTAAATGGCGGCAGGGAAAAGATCTAAATTTAAATAAAATTCATAATTTTGATTATATATTTTAATTATTGAAATGTGGCCAATAGACATAAAAATTGACCATAAAAATGATAGAAACTGCACAGATTTTATCCAGGGATTGAGAAAAAACTAACTCCACAAAGTAGGATAAATAGACAGATAAACAGTAGGGGTGTGTGTGTGTGTGTGTGTGTGTGTGTGTGTGTGTGATTGCACATTTTTAGCTTCATTTGTTCTTGCTTAAGCAAATTAATG